AATAACCAGGGTTAGGTCTCAGCACAGCCTAAGTGGAGAAATACAGTATCTGACTTATAAGCAAATAGCATACACACTGAAAAAATTACAGGACCTATGTTCTGGCAGGAACAGGGATAACAGGGGTATGAGGAGAGGGGTGTAAGAATGTATCAATCTGGGGGCACTCTCATTATTCAGGGATTAACATCCAAGCAAGGATACATAAAACCATTCTGACATGCTTCTGAGACACTTCTTTGAAACTTGGACACAATTACGACCTTCGGAAATGAAGTAGAGATGCCAGAACTTCCTTGGCAGAATACCGAAGGAGTCAGAAGGCTCAGAGGGATAAGCATGTTAGATTGTAGTTATTATGCAAGACCAGAGAACCTACTAGAAGACTACATTCCCATGGGAAGTCCAGAGGCCACTCTTTTCACTGAGGTAACACAACATGTAAAGGTGAGTAATCCTTAGTGTCAGTGGGGATGGTAGGACTCTGGAATTGCAGAGACCAGATGGATAACAATCAACAGAGGCAGGGTAGATATAATAATTACCATAAAACCAAATGGCGACCAGAATGCTTTCACCTATAGGGTCTATCTGTGGCAATAGCTAATAGACCATAGTGTCCCTAGGAGTTAACTAAATTGGCAGATGACTGGGTGTTACATGACTGTAACAACAGCAATCCCCAAAATCAAGAGCTCATGAGCAGAAGGCAGATGCCAGCTGCCATAATGAGAAATAGTATTTCCTCATAAATTTCCTCGATGTAGGCCAGTTCTCAGGCTCAGAGCCTATTGATTTAAGGAATGGTCAAGTCTTTTTATAGAAGAACCGCCCAATGCTGCCAAAAGTAGACAAGATAATTATTTCCCCAATCTTTCCACATGAGGGATCTGTGGCCTTTTATCAGAGTAACTCTGGTCAAGGAGAAGAAAAAGAACCAGACTTTCAAAGGTACAGAGTATGAGCTGGCATCAATGCTGGGGGGAAACACTATCATGGTCCCCCCATGATAGAGGCTCGTGAAAGCCAGGTAAATGGAGTACTCATGCAAACAGATCCAAGAAGTCTGAAGATCCACACTGTACTAATTTCCTTATCTCTAAGTAAATAACTGGGACAGATACTCTAGCAACTGGCAGTACCCTAACATTTACTCCCTATTTTATTAAGAGCCATTAAGGTAAGAAGGGCCAAATGAAAGCCCCTGACACTTACCCTGACCTTTCTTACTAATTTATTAAATGAGAAGTAAAACCACATCCTGGGTGGCATTGCAGAGATTAATTTCAACATCAAATATTTTCTTCTTAATATCCTTCAGTCAGGAGGATGAAAAACTGTTTGCTTTTATGTGGGAATAATAGCAGTACATATTCACTCTCTTGCCTCTGGGCTATGTTAATTCTCCTCTCTGTCACAACACAGTATCTAGCAACTTTGATTGTCTCAATATTCCATTAAACATCATGGTAGTCCACTGTGTTGATGACCTAATGCTAATTTGACCTAGTAAGCAAGAAGAAGCAAGAACTCTAGATGTCCTAGTAAAGACATGTGCATGCCAAAGGATAGAAGACAAAAATATGAAGATTCAGGGCAATCATATTGTTCAAATTTTTTCTTACCTTTTTGTTCTACAATAAGTTAAATGGATGTAAAAGTAGACAAACTAGTAAAACGAATCCCTAGAACCACTATTCATAGCCCATATTATTTCATCTATATCCCCACCAACTTCTTCTATCCCATATTATTTTGAAACAAATGGGTAAAGTTATCAGGGATCAGTAGTCATACCAGGTTATCCCCTGTAAAGTAAAGGCAAGTTGTTGAGCTCTGTATCCTCCAACACTAAGGCATAGTGCTTGGTGGAGTATTCTTCTGACCCATCTATTGGGTGCCCCTGAAGGCTCTCAGTTTCAGGTGAAAACCAGAGCAGGAGAGAGCTGTACAGTGTGTCCAACTAGAGTACAAGCTTCTCTACGATTTGGTTCATATAATCCATCTGATACAATGGGACTAGAGGCATACATGATGAATAAGGCTGCGGCGCAGAGTCTCTGACATGCCCTAATAAAAGAGTTTCAGCACAGATCTCTAAAGTTCTGGAGAAAGGCCATGCAGCAGAGAGTTATTTGACTTTTGAAAAACAGCTGTTTGGCCCCAATAAAAACCGAGAGCCTAGCAATGGGACATCAAGGGTCTATGCAATCAGAGATACCCATTGTAAGCCAGGAATTGTCAGAGTCTATCAAGTCATAAGATTAGGCAGGTTTAAGCCAGACATGGTGGCTCACACCTGTAATCCCAGCACTTTGGGAGGAGGCTGAGGCCAGAGAATTACTTGAGCCCAGGAGCCTAGGAGCCCAGGAGGCAACACGGAAAAAACCCCATCTCTAAAAAATACAGAAAAAAAAAAAAAAATTAGCTGGGCGTGGTGGTGTTTGCCTATAGTCCCAGCAACCTGGGAGGCTGAAGTAGAAGGATCGCTTGAGCCTAGGGAGGTTGAGGCTGCAATAAGCTGTGATCTTGCCACTGCACTCCAGCCTGGGTGACAGAGTGAGAACCTCTCAAAAAAAAAAAAAAAAAAAAAAAAGACTTATCAGCAATCCATCATATAATAGGAATGGTAAATTCAGGATCAGGACTAAGCAGGTCAATAGGGTGCATTTAAGTCAACACAAGGTGGCTTAGACTCCTATGACACCTACCTCGGCTATCAGCTATACCAACCCTTCTGTCTTAGCTCAGACCTACAGCCTTAGTGGGTAGTTCTCTGTAACCAATTGATGAAGGGAAAAACAGCCCTGACTCACAGACGGATTAGCTTTAGACATTGATAGTAGTTAAAAAAAAAAATCGTTCCTCTAACATAGCTTCATTTAGTGGGTAGCCCTAAATAACTTTGAAGGGAAATTCCCCCAGTGGGCTAAGCTGTAAGCAGTATACCTATTCATTCATTTTGTATGGAGGACAAAACAATTCCACATAGAGGTTTACATACACTTGTGAGCAATGGCAAATAGTTGAGTGGTATCTGTTCAGCACTCACGTATGTACAACCTGGAAGTGCAAGGAGTTGACCAATGGAGACAGAACTAGAAAACAAATACCTCCTCATTCTATATGGCTCTTTAGAAGTCCCCAGTGGGATTAAGCCTCAGTAACCCATAGCAATGGGGATTGAGACAAGGCTGAGGGGAGGAAAAAGAGCAAGGCACTTGTCTCTGGTGCAAATTTAAGGAGGCACCAAGAAATTCAGTAACCAAGATTAATTATACTTTAATGCAATATTTTTTAAAATAGAAATTAATGCAAATACCCATGATGAACACAATATCAAAATTTTAAGTAAAGACAGGCTCAGTATTGCTAATTTTCCCTTTATTCTTAGGCTCCACTAGGGCTTCACACAGCACTCTTACTGATCCTGGTCATCACCAATAACCATCTCAATTTCAGTCTATGTGGGCTTTACCTCCCTCCCTGTTCACTCTCCTCCCTAGTCCCTCGCTTCGTTTTATGGTATCACTACTCAAAATAAACGACCTTATGTAAGTTCTTGTCTCCAACTTTGCTCTATTATTTGGGGTAGAGTAGGGAGATGAAACCCAAGCTAAGTAAGATAATGACCATAATATATCATTCGAAGAAGGATACTTGTGAAAATACAGGAGGTTCTATTAATAATTTCACTGGATTAACAGGCATAAATCAGAGCTGTCCTAGCACATCAGGATGTATAGTCTTATTACAGGTAGGAAACTGAGGTTCCAAGGGGGTGGGAAGTCCTCCTAAGAGGAGGGGTCAGAGTGGAAGCTACACAAAAAGAGGCAGAAATGTCCCTCCGCCTCTTAATCGGGGCCTGGAGAAACAAACACACTTGTGCAAAATCTCCGAGAGGTGAGCTCTTCACCCTGTCAGTTTTATCTGCCTCGTGAACCCCAGGGCTCAGGCTCCAGCCTCGGGCTAGCTCATACAACAGCAGACGGGCCTTAGGTCTGGGCACTGAGCAAAAAAAAAAAAAAAAAAAAGGGAGGCCGTGGTCCCTGCTTTGGTTACCCCGCTGGGTCTGAGCGCCAAATCGGATCTCCTCCTTCTCTTTCCCTCCCTCCCTCCCTCTGTTCCTGGACTGGGGACAGGCCCTTCTGCAAACAAAAGCCTTCCAGTCGGAGAAAGCTCTGGCAACCTGACAAGATAAAGCGCCCTGGGGGCGTGAGGAGAGCAAGGGCTCAAAATCAGAACCCAGCGTGATGACAGTGCCTCCATGACTGTGCTCCCGCAATGGGCAGGCTCCACGTCCTGGCGCCCGCCCGCCCATGGACCCGGCGAGGGCTTCCAGGCTGGGCTCAGCCATTCCGCCGGCGTGCGGGGGAGGAAACTCGCCTCCCGGGCACTCGGTTTTCTCCTGCCCCCGCCCTCCCTCCGGTCCGGGCCCATCTCTGACGTAGTGTGACCTTGCTCATCCCTTCCAGGCTGTGGGCCTGTTTTCCCTGTGCAAGGTGAGGGTCCTGGCTGTCCGGGCGCCGCCAGGGTTGACCGAATTGAGCTCTCCTAGGACTCGTGGGAAATGAGCTCCCTGTCGGCGTGTGCCAGCTGCCTGCGCCGGGCGCCACAGAACAGGGCGCGCTCCTGCAGCTCCGCCGCCCGCAGAAGTTTCCCGGGAACCGACTCCACCGACTCGCCCCTCCGCGCCCCCCGCGTGGCCGCCTAAGCTCAGCCTCCAGATTAGAGGAGACCGCGGAGGGAACCCTGCCGGAGTCTGGGCCCGGGGGCGACGCGACCCCAGCAGGTTGAGGGCCGACCTCTCCGAGACCTTGCTCTCCGGCCTCGGCTCCTCGCTTGCGCCCGCCCTCCCACGTAGGGCCCAGGTCTGGGAATCAGCGCTCGGGGGTGGCTGGGGACAACCGAGAGCGAGCTTCTCACCCGGCACGCGGGCGGAATGGCTGAGCCCCGCGTGGAAGCCCCGGTCAGGTCCTTGAGGGCGGGCGGGCGCGCGGAGCACTGGGCGGAGACAGCCGGGAGTCCAGCCCCTTCCCAACGCCCTCCCCTTCCCAGCGCCGGGCCAGGGATGGGGGTGTGGTCCCAAGTGTACAGTGGCATCAAGCTCCGCTCCCGGAACGCTCCAGCGCCCTCAGCCTGTTTCCCAGGACCGGTCTCCGGCTGCGCGCCCCAATTTCCAACAGCCTGCCTGTCCCCGGGAACGTTCTGACATCCTTGGGGAGCCCCCAGCTACGCGACACTGTCCCGAGAACGCTCTCATCACCCGTAGTTGCAAATTTCGGAGCGGCAGTGGGAAGCATGCGGGACTACGACGAGGCGATCGCCTTCCTGGGCGAGTGGGGACCCTTCCAGCGGCTCATCTTCTTCCTGCTCAGCGCCAGCATCATCCCCAATGGCTTCAATGGTATGTCAGTCGTGTTCCTGGCGGGGACCCCAGAGCACCGCTGCCGGGTGCCTGACGCCGCGAACCTGAGCAGCGCCTGGCGCAACAACAGTGTCCCGCTGCGGCTGCGGGACGGCCGCGAGGTGCTCCACAGCTGCCGCCGCTACCGGCTCGCCACCATCGCCAACTTCTCGGCGCTCGGGCTAGAGCCGGGGCGCGACGTGGACCTGGGACAGCTGGAGCAGGAGAGCTGCCTGGATGGCTGGGAGTTCAGCCAAGACGTCTACTGGTCCACCGTCGTGACTGAGGTGGGTGCCAGGCCGAGACCGGGGACCCGGGAGTGCCTGACCCTCCCTCTGCGTCAGCCCCCCTTGAGACTCCCTGCGCACTGCCCGGGTCAGCGCTCCCCTCCCCTTCAAACCTGCTGTTCATACTTCCAGCAGCGGGTGTGCACCCCAAGAAAGAATAGGACTCACATGAGGCGCATTCCTGGGTCGTTTCTGTCCAATAAGGAGGTGATGGAGAAGGGAGTTTGTCACCAACTGTCTTTTCATTTCCGATTTTCACAACAAATGAAGTTCCCCAAGAACCTAGATGTGGCCTTGGGGGAAGCGCAGCCCCAGGCTACCCAGACGCACTGCTTGAGTCACCTTCCTGCCAGGCATGGGAGGAGGGGTGTGAGGGACCTCGTTACTGGGCAGGGCGGGGCCAAATCTTGTCTGTTCATTGGCCACAGACTTCTGGAGGCATCAGGAGGTGTACTGCTGTACCACATACTTGTGAGGTTTGGGGTCCTGTCCTGAGGCCCCAGTTTCTCTAAGACAGCAGATGACCTCCCGAGGCTCATTGGGTGCAAGGAAACAGAGAAGGCAAAACCCCAGCTGGAAGCCCTGGCACTCAGGGACCTCTCTGAGCACAGGGTCAGTTGGCAGGCAGGGCCTGTAGCCCCTCAGTACCCTGCGTGGTTAGTGGCAGGTTTTCTAAGCTCCAGGAATGAGGATGCACACACACTTCCCTGTTTTTCCTGCTTCACATCTGGTAAGGACCTGGGTCCAGGAAACACCTTCCTCCTGAGGGGAGCATCCTTATGGAGCCATTGCCTGCTATTGGTCAGGCAGGCAGGATTTCCCTGCTGCTAAGTCCCTCCTCCGCCTTGTGCTCCTCCCAAGAAAAACCTGAGTGGCCTCTGCTAGTCCCTTATCCCTTTCCCTCAGCACAGTATAGCAGTCATCAGACATTGTGTCTGGCCTTGTGCTGGGCACTAAGGTGTGGATATCTGGGGTGTGGAGCCTGCCTTCAGATGCCCATGGGGCACACTGGCTGTGTTACTGAGAAGGCTAACATTAACCCTGGTTAGCAATAGGGTTCTAGAACCCAAATTCAAGTCCTGCCTTGCTTGCTATATGACCTGGGATAAATAAATCACCCTCTCTGTGGGACAATAAGCAGAGGAAATGCTCTAAGAAGGGGTGATACGATTTTAGCTGAGTCCGAAAATGTGAGCAAGGCCTGTCTAGGCAAGAATATGGGAAATTCAGGGAATGGAATTCTCATACATCAGAGTGGCTGGAACTCCAGGGATGACAGATACGACAGATAAGACTAGAAATGGCCACAGGGGCTAGTTCATAGTGGCCTTCTACATATACTGAAGAGCTGACTTTATTCGGAGGACAGTGAGGAAATAGTAAGCATTCTAAGGCTAGGTTTCTGCTTTTGGAAAGAGCTCACTCTAGCTGCTATGATAAACAAGACCAGTGAGGACGTTGTGAAACTCTCCTCTGCAAGAGAATGGTGGCCAGCCAGGCGTGGTGGCTGTGGAATCTGTGATACCTGTGGGAAGTGGGCTCAGCCCAGGGACTGCCTTTGGACCCCCCAGCACTGGCACCATACCTACCCTGGGCCCTAAAGTGGCCATGCCTCTCTGGCTTTGCTTCCCTAGCAAGGGCTGTAGTGCTTGCCCACTCCCTGCCCACAGCATGGCCTGGGAGCAGCTAAGACTGGGGCCAGCCCATCCCACGTCGATTCCTGAAAGTGTTATCAGTGCCTGTTATGGAGGCTGGGCCCACAAGCAGCAGCCTTCCCTGGCAGCTGGGCTGACCTGTCTGCTTTTCCATTGCTCACTGGTTTTGTTCACTGTAGGGTGTGAGGGGTGGGTATCTGCTGGCCTCCAAGTCCATAGCTACCCATGTTGTGCCCTGTTCACAGGGACCTCTAAGGATGTACATCATCACACATTCACACGCATGCACCAGGATTTGCTTTTTTCGGCAGCCTTTCCCCTTCCTGGCTTCCTTTTTGAGTGGTGGGAGTAAAATAAAAAGCAACTAGGGGGCGGGCGCAGTGGCTCATGCCTGTAATCCCAGTACTTTGGGAGGCCAAGACGAGCAGATTACTTGAGGTCAGGAGTTTGAGACTAGCCTGGCCAACATGGTGAAATCCTGTCTCTACTAAAAATACAAAAATTAGCTGGGAGTGGTGGTGCACCCCTGTAGTCCCAGCTACTCGGGAGGCTGAGGCAGGAGAATCACTTGAACCTGGGAGGCAGAGGTTGCAGTGAGCTGAGATCGCACCACAGCACTCCAGCCTGGGTGACAGAGCCAGACTCTGTCTCAAAAAAAAAAAAAAAAACTGGGTGAGCAGGATGGATGAATGGCTCTGCCCAGAGGAGCGGTGGCACACAGAGTTCTGGAGTGAGACTCAATAGAGGGCCAGTTTTGACTCCACTGCCAACCACCTGGCTGACTCCAGGCAGGTTACTTCACTGACGAAAACCTCAGTTTCCATGTCTATAAATCAGGGGTACAAGCAGATGAAAAGAGGCTCAACATCACTCATTGCTATAGGGAAATGCAAATGAAAACCATAATGAGGTACCACTTTGTACCCTTAAAGATAGCTACTACAAAACAAACAAACAAACAAAAAGAAAAAAAAAAAAAACACCAGAAATCCACTTTAGGAAGCCAAGGCAGGAGGATTGCTTGAGGCCAGGAGTTCAAGACAGCCCTGGGCAACATAGCAAGACCCCATCTCTAAAAAAAAATAAAAATAAAAATTAGCCAGGCATGAGGGCATGCGACTGTAGTTCTAGCTTCTCAGGAGGCTGGGGCAGGAGGATCACCTGGGCCCAAGAGTTCGAGGTTGCAGTGAGCTATGACCATACCTCTGCACTCCAGCCTGGGTGACCCCACCTCTAAAAAACTGTTGTTGTTGTTGTTGTTTTTTAAACACAGAAAATAACAAGTGTTAGTGAGGATGTAGAGAAATTGGAACCCTTGTTCATTCCTAGTGGGAGTGTAAAATGGTGCAGCCACTACGGAAAATAATATGGTGGTCCCTAAAAAAATTAAAAATTAAAAAACTAATTCTGGATATATGTCCAAAATAATGGAAACAGGGCCTCAAAGAGACATTTGCGCACCATGTCTATGGTAGCATTATTCACAATAGTCAAAAGGTGAAAGCAACCCAAGTGTCCTTCCACAGACAAATGGATAAACGTAATGTGGTATATGCGCACAAAGGACAATTATTCAGCTTTAAAAAGGAAGGAAATTCTGATACATGCTACAACATGGATGAACCTTGAGGAGACTACACTTAGTGAAATAAGCCAGTCACAAGACAAACTATTGTCTGATTTCACTTCAAGAACAGTCACACTCACAGAAACAGAAAGTAAATGGTGGTTGCCAGGGACTGGAAGAAGGAAGGAGTAGGGAGTTGTTTCATGGGTATAGAATTTCAGTTTTGTAAGATGAAAATAGTGTTGGAGATTGATTGCACAACAGTGTGAACGCTTCTGAACTGTACACTTAAAAATGGCTAAGATGGTATATTGTATATTTTGTGTACTTTATCTCAGTTTTCAAAACGGGGATAATAAGAGAAGCCGCCTTATCTGAGTTGTTGGGAGGACTCAGTGAGAGAATGCCCCACGCCCCATCTGGCGGTGGCCAGCACAGAGTGTGGCACCAGCAAATGGGCTTCCTAGGTGGGTGGCAAGGAGTGGTAAGGGCAGGACCTCAGCACCCTCTTTGCCTTCTGCACTAGCTGGGCACAGTGGGCATGGAGGGAGCTGTTCTAAAGTCCAGGTTGTGGCCTCTGTAACAGGTGATGGGACTTGCTGGAGGCCGAGCCCCTCTCCCCACAGTGGCAGTTCCAAGGCTCAGAGAACAGAACACAAGTCCAAACCCATACTGACTTGGCCAGTGCCAGTGGACAGGGCCAAGCCCAGGGCCCCTGAGCAGGTTCTCTGCATCCCAATTGGCACAACACAGGTAGTGGGACTGTCCTCAGATTGTGTCTCTGCCTTCCACCGCAGTGCCAGGATCTCCCAATGGGCATATCCTTAGGGACAGACAAGTCTGCCTGAACTGCCCCCCAACACCTCTTCACAGGAGGACAGGGTTAGCCAGGAACCAAGGATGGCATGCTCTGCTGTAGAAATGCCTTTCATAGTATGCCAGGAGGTAGCAATAAGGTGTCTGAGTTGGGGTTTGCATGAGTGCATTCGTCTGTGTGTGTGCATGTGTATAAGGTAGTTTCCTTCTTCAGGGGTTGATTGTGAAGTCCAAATTTTTCATCCTGTGCAGTTACTAAGAGTCAAATTATTATTATTATTATTATTTTTATTTTTTTAGATGAGTTTCGTTCTTGTTGCCCACGGTGGAGGAGTGCAATGGTGCCGTCTTGGCTCACTGCAACCTTTGCCTCCCGGGTTCAAGCAATTCTCCTGCCTCAGCCTCCCAAGTAGCTGGGATTACAGGGGCCCACCACCATGCCCAGCTAGTTCTTTGTTTGTTTGTTTGTTTGATTGATTGATTTTGTATTTTTAGTAGAGATGGGGTTTCACCATGTTGGCCAGGCTGGTCTCTAACTCCTGACCTAAGGCGATCCACCCACCTCGGCCTCCCAAAGTGCTGGGATTACAGGCGTGAGCCACCGCACCTGGCCATTATTTTTTAGCTTTATTTTGAAATAACTTTAGATTTAGAGAGAAGTTTGAAAATAGTACAGAGATTTCATATATACCCTTTATCCAGCTTGCTCTGATGTTAACAATTTAAATACACATTATGCATTTATCCAAACCAGGAAATGAACATTGGTTATAATAGTAATAACTGGACTACAGACTTTGTTTGAATTTCACCAGTTTTTCTACTACTGCCCTTTTTCTATTGTAGGATCCCATCCAAAATCCCATGTTGTATTTAGTTGTCATGTCCCAGTCTCCAATCTGTGACTGTTCCTCAGTCTTTCCTTATCTTTCATGATCTTGACATTTTTCTGAGTATTTTGA